TCCACAAAAATATTGTGCGGCACAACTGTTTTCAACATTGATAATAATCAGAAATGTTTCTTGAGCAGCAGATCAGCATATTAGAATGATTTCTGAAGATCATGTGACACTGAAGACTGGAGTAATGATGCTGAAAATACAGCTGCGCATCACAGAAATACATTACAGTTTAACAGATATTCACGTAGAAAACAGCTGTTTTACATTAGAATCATATTTAGCAATGTGTTTTTAATCAAATAAATGCAGCCTCGGCGAACAGAAGAGACTTCTTATTATTCCAAATGTTTAATCTGTAGTGCACATATATACATTTTTAATCGACATGATAAAGAGTTGTAAATAAATGCTGAATAATGTTCATATTTCTCTCCTGTGTGATGTTGTTGTGCGCATCTGTAGGTGATTTTAATAGGAGTTATAACTGCTACAGCTGCATGCACCCACAACCCGTGTCTGGTCAGTCCTCATTCTTACGTTCAGACAGTTATCTGCAGAGGAGCTCAATGTTAAAATAAACTGATGTTTGTCGTGGTCAGGTGATCACTTCTCAAGTGCTGAATCTGCTCAATGTCTGCAATGTGGTGACGGCCGTCCTCGTGTTTTTCGTCAGAGTCTTCTTTGTGTTTCTTGGAGATGTGAGTGATTGCTTCTTAGTCTCGTTCTGATCAGAGCACATCTAATGCACAGACAAACTAATGTTTGCATCAGCTTACAAGGTTTAATCTGAAATCAGTTTGGATTCTGACAAACTTTCATGCATGTAAACATACCTAGTCTGATTTGAATTATTACCATACAAGTAACCTTTTTTTTTACAGTGTAATGATTAATATATTCATGTGTATTCGTAACGCCGTGATTCTGCTGTTGCTGTAGATTGTTGGAGCTGTTCTGCGCACTCATTTTCTGAGCGGCCGCTCTGAGAGCTCTTCTTCTCAGACTGCAAACATCGCCTTCATCGCCTGTAATGTCCTGGCACTCATCTTCTCTCTTATCATCATCGGGACGTCGTGCTGCTGGTGTAGATCGGTAAATCAGTGTTTATTGGTGACCCTGCAGCACAAAAGCAGTGTTAAGTCGCTGGGGTATATTTGTAGCAATAGCCAATAATACATTGTATGGGTCAAAATTATCCATTTTTCTTTTATGCCAAAAATCATTAGGATATTAAGTAAAGATCATGTTCCATGAAGATATTTTGTAAATGTCCTACTGTAAATATATCAAAACTTAATTTTTGATTAGTAATATGCATTGCTAAGAACTTCATTTGGACAACTTTAAAGATGATTTTCTCACTATTTAGATTTTTTTTGCACCCTCAGATTTTGATTTTCACATAGTTGCATCTCAGCCAAATATTGTTTCCACACACCAATGGAAAGCTTATTTATTCAGCGTTCAGATGATGCATAGATCTCAATTTCAAGAAACTGACCCTCATGGCTGGTTTTGTGCTCCAGGGTCTCATCTGAGATCTATGATGTTGTGTGATGACTACACGAGATGCTCATGTGTCGATGTGCTGCTTCTCCAGAGAAAGCGTCTGATGGTGATCCACATGAACGCAGCTTCACCTGCAGCGCTCAGTGATGACGTGGATTATCCGTGTCCAGAACTTTCACCGCCAGCCTATAGTCCGGTTCCGTCTTCAGATCCGCCGGCCTATGAGGTGTGTATGAAGAGCAAAATCATCTCAGAAGTCCTCTTTCAAACCTCTGGAGCTCCTTGTGTGCTGATCTAAAGTTCAATCAAATAAATGTGCTGTAATTTAGTTCAGTAATGTTTTTATTTAATATTTCCCGTTTTTAGGGGATTTTATTGCACTTATCACCTGTTAATCACTTTTTTAGCATTGACCTGAAAATGGAATTTACAACTTAAACTGTCGTAAATATTGAATGTTTTGGAGCACAGACTTAAGTTTGGTCTCTTTTTAAAAACGCAGATTTTTGCTGAAGTGAAAAAAAGTGATAGAAATAAAAAAAAAATGATAGAAGTTTAATGCACAAAAAATTGAGCATGCACAAAAAAAACTATTTTCAAATATGAAATATGTATTTTCCAAAACATGTTTTACTCAAAAACTGTGAGGATTGCAAAGCCGTATGTTTAAACAAGTTGTGTTCCAAATTTGAGGTTGATATAAAAACAATAAAAAAAATCACAGTAAGATTTTGTTTGGGTGCAGTACCAAACATTTCCACTTGATGAAATTCATTTTTCATTCATTTCCAGTGCCAACATTACGTGTGACTTTTTTTTCAGGGCCATTTAACTTTTTTTGGTGTTCACATAAGTGCCAAACCTTTACCAAGTTTCATTTTGATGAAGTAAAAATTCTAAAAACGTTTTTTTTTTTTTTTGTCAAAAATGACCGAAGAGCACTAGAGGGTTAAATGACTTTCAAAGCATCCCAGCATGCACCTGATGAACTTTACATGAATGCATTTGGAAGATGCTTCTATCCAAAGCAACTTGCATTGCATTTAACTCATGCATGTGATCAGTCCATGCATTCCCTGGGAATCGAACCCGTGATCTTGGTGTTTCTAGCAGTGCTATGATCCACTGTTTGAGCTCCAGAAAGTCGGCTGATGAATGTCAAGAGTGATCTGTGTCTAATCTCCGAGTTTCATCACTGTGCTTTTATTCTAACATTAGGAAGTGAGTAGATGATGACGTGAATGTCTCTCTGTTCCTGCAGGAGGAGCGACGCTCGACTCTTTCTGGAGTTTCTACTCAGAAGTGGGCAATGAGAAAATGGAAAGAAGAACTGCAGCGCAGCAGAAAACCCATCCAAGTCTGACCTGGATCATTTATTTCCAGATCAGTGAGACTTCTATGCTCTAAAGTAGAGCTTTAGTGACTCTTATAATGTCCACAGGGCTCAGTTTAAGCCCCTTTATTAGTGTAATGTCTTTTATCATAACACTATTTTTCACTTGCATCAGATGCACATCAATCAATCTGATGGACCTATAGACGGCATTCACTGGTGGATGCCACAGAACTTTCTGCAAGACATGAACTGATGCATTTTTATAATTTTGTCACATTAAAAGGTTTTAAGTCATGCTTCCAAAAATTAAGGCTTAAAAGAGCAAAAAAGTCGTGGCATTAAATGTTGCATGAAGTGCTCAGTATTTTTATCTTGTTTAAGTACTAATATCTAAACATCCTGAAATCAAGATATGAAGTCTTGCTTCTTTAAAGAAGTTTCTCAATATGAAGAGAGTTTAAGGGGAATAAAAACTGGTTTTCTCTTTGAATTTGAAGTTGATTTTTATCTGTTGGACTTGTATTTTCATGCTGTTGCTAATATTGTGTTTGTATATTGTATTCAGTTTTCTTTAATTGCTCTCAGAAAAGTCTTAAAGTCTTACATTTGCATTCATAAAACTTGCCGAAACCCTGATATACAAGATTTTACCATTATTTGAGGGAAAGAACTAATGTTTATGACACGATTTGTGTCAGATTTTTCAATGCTATTGAAATGTGAGTTCGGGGAGTAGTTTTAGAGAGTACTTCAGTATTTGGAGCTGTACTTGCAGCAAGCTACAAGGTAAGTCGTCTCACCATTACTGACAGTTACTTCTAAAATCATTAACCGGTTTCTTTTGACATGATCAAACCTAAAATATTAGTATTTTTACAATGTCATTTAAAGGGATAGATCACCCAGAAGTGAAAATTGCCATCATTTACTCACACTCAAGTTGTTCCAAACCTGAAACCAAAAGAAGATATTTTGAAGAATGTTGGTAACCAAACAGTTGCCGGGCAGCTATTGACTTCCATATGGGAAATAAATACTATAGAAGTCAATGACTACCAGTAATTGTTTGGTCACCAACATTCTCCAAAATATCATCTTTTGTGTTCAGCGGCTGAAACAAACTGACAGAATGAATGTTCGATGTTTGGTGAGCTATCACTTTAAGCGACTGATTAATGTTCTTCAGGCTTCACTTCTGTGTTCTTACGCTAGAGGTCAGTGTCCTCAACATCTAGTGAGCAGCACTATGTAACTTTTTCTGTGTTCAAAATTTGCAAAATGTATATAATGAGCGAGTACATCATGAATTCATCTTCCAAACCGCGTTTTTGTCTTATTCCGAATCACTACGGTACACTTATAATAAGTACTTATATTTGGACTATTGTAGCCTGGTCGGGTCGCCACCGCTGCGGAGTAACACATACCTGCGTGAATCGCCATAGACCTAAACTTAGAGAAGTAGATCCGGTTGGAATGTTCTTCCGCGGGATGTGTGCAGTTCTGTTTATTAACCGCTAGAGCGCCAAAAGTTACATAATGCTGCTTTAATTTACTTACTACGTATTTGTATCTGTGCAACTTTAGAACTTCTGATATTCCTGTTAATATGTAATAATCCACCATATCTGTGCATGTTTCATGTAGTATTTTCCTTATTTACGTAACACGCATTCAATTCTAGTCAATTCAGATCTTCATATGTTCACAACTCAAGCATTTTTGAGACCATTCACTTATTGATCTTTATTTGATCTGAGTTGCTTTGTCTTTCCAGATTTGCTTTATTGTGATGTTGTTTTGAGTTGTTAGACTTCTTGTTGGTCACACTTTAGTTTGGGGACCAGTTTTACTAGGCTACTTGAAGACTTTTGTCTCAATAAACTCCTAATTTCTGCTTATTAATAGTTAGAAAGGTAGCTAGTTGGGGATGTAGAATATGATCATGCAGAATATGTGCTTTATAAGTACTAATAATATGCATGTTAATAGGCAACTAGTTAATAGTTAGAATTATTCTCTAACTAAAGTGTTACTGATTTGTTTTTAAAAGTTGCGGAAAAGGCACCAGTTTTCAAAGCTCTTTGTTGACTTTCTGAATATTTGTTCATTCTATCATGTTTGCATACTTTAAATTAATGAATGTATGGTGTAGGCTATTCAGAAGAAAAGAGATGTTTTAAAAAATACCAATCCAAAACAAGCAGTGGTTTAATGCATATAACAGCATGACATATCATCGTACTTTGGACAGAAACGATTAGTTTGAGATTTTAATAAATTACAAAAGGGCCAAATTGATTCATTCAAAGCTGAACACTTTGCAGTTCAGCACATTCGTGCCGAAATCAGACGAGACCGAAGGTTTCTCTAGCTGCCGGCGTAGAACGTGTAATAGCTGATGGTCTTGGAGTTTGCTGAACTGTCCTTGTTGAAGTTTTCTGAGGCGCTGGAATCTTCACCCTTGACCGTGGGAGAGTTCTCCGCTCCAGACTCGCCGAGGGAAACCCGCCGCCGTTTGCAAACCACAGAGTAAATGCTCGGCTCCACAGAGTCTAGAGGTTTCAAAGGCGGCGTGCTCTCCATCCAGGCTGAAGTCTGACTAAATGCGTTTCCTTCCCTAGATTTGTCCTTATCGGGCATGTGGTCGTCTGTGAAGTCCGTGGGACTCGGTCTGGGTGACCAGGGCAATCCAGACGCCATTTTTCTGGGATAAGAGCCTCTGGAGCCCCATCCTGCGGTGACGGATGCGAAGGCGGCGTCTGGATAGTAGCCCAGCGAGTGTGCGCTCTGCAGAGGTAAGGATTTGAAACTGTACGGTAATAACGAGCTGGAATAATCACCCTCGTACGCCGTCAGCTCCAGTTTGCTTCCACTGGTTTGCTGTACAGAAGTGACCAGCCACCTCTGAGCAGCACCAGCGTCCTCCACCGGAGCAGAAAGCATGCTGTTTGTCTGCGAAACCATCCGTTCTGTGTTGTAAAGGCGACTCGGGGTCAGATTGTTGACAAACTGGTCCTGCAGAAAGGGTTGCATGGTGTAGCGCGCGCGAGGTGAGTCTGACGGCGACGGTGTGAGTCTTTCACGCTCTGGAACGGTGTACATCCTGAAAGATGAATGCAAATGAAATAAAAACAAAGCTCCAAAAGTGGAACCACAGAAGAACATTTTGGGCTCCTCAAAGAACCTTTCAGTGAACAGTTCTTAGAAGAACCTTTAGTGGTTCCACACTCTTAAAAATAAAGGTTTTCACAGTGATGCCACAGAAGAGCCATTATTATACCTTTCAGTGAACAGTTCATAAAAGAACCATTGGTAACACTTTATTTTAAGGTGTCCTTGTTACACGTACTTACTAAAATTATGCATAATTACATGCAAGTAACCCTAACCATATAGTAAGTACATATAGTTAATTAATATTACTCAGTACTTAAACGTATTATTACACTGCAACAAGGACACCTTAAAATAAAGTGTAATCAAAACATTTATTTCAAGATTCTATAGTGGAAAAAAGTTGTTTTTTTCAGAACCTTTTGTGGAATGGAACATTTCTATGGATGTTAAAGGTTCTTCATGCAATCATCAATGCCAATAAATAACCTTTATTTTTTAAGAGTGTAGAAGAACTGATTTGGGTTCCTCAAAGAACCTTGCAGTGAACCGTTTTTAAAAGAACCATTTTTTCTTATTCTGAAGAATATTTTAATAATCTAAAAACCTTTTGTGCAATGGAAAGACTTCCAAGATTCTTCATGGAACCATCGATGCCAATAAAGCAGCTTTATTTTATAGAGTGTATGGAGAACTATCAGTGATATGCATGGGAATATAATATACTCACGAATCATAATTATCTCTAAAACCCTTTGCGAAAGGATTGTGGTCGATCTTGAGTTGAGTGATCTAGAAGAAGAAGAACACAGATGTGAAGATCAATCCTAACTGAGTGTGTAAAGTACACATATCTTGATTTATGCTCATACATCAGTATTCTGATATGCGGTAACAGCGATGAACTGGTTCTCAGGAAAGGTGAAGATCTGAGTTTTAGAATCTCGTCCTGTGCTTTCAATTCCGTCGTCCGACACTTCGACGATGTGAAGCCTGGGCTGGTACTTGTGTAGAGACTGAAGGACGACCATCTGATTGAAAGACATAGATTAGAAGAAAACAGAACTGAAACCTCATAATTTTTCAGGTATACAGAGCACATATTTAAAATATGCCTATTAGTGCTAGTTGTTAAAACAATTATAAGCAATGCACATCAACATTTAAACAAATTATTTAAGCATCAATTCTTCTCTTTAAAAAATATATATACATATATGCGTTATTTACCTGTGCGGCATTAGTATTTGCTCCCTTGTTGTTTGTTAGTTTGAGTTTACCGAAAGACATTTCTTGTCTCATCCAATGAGCGCCTGTGTTCGGCGATTCGGGGTGGACGTAAATCTTATTTCCTAAAATAATAAAATAAATGAAGCAATAATAATAATGCATATTAAATATTACATATTTTTCCGTCCTCCGTACCTTGCATGTTATTGTCGGCTTTCCCGCAGGTCACCCATTTTCCGCCCTGAAATCTCCAGTGGTTGGGATCGGCTAAAACTATCTCCACAAACACATTATAATGCGTCGTCAAACTCAAGCCGGTAATATTGAAACTTAGAAATGGGAACATCCGCCTGTCCAGGGGGGAGAAAAAAACAAAAAAGAATGAATGCAAATAATTATTTATTTAACTTAGAAATGGGAACATCCGCCCTGTCCAGGGGGGAGAAAAAAACAAAAAAGAATGAATGCAAATAATTATTTATTTTCTGAATGAAACAAACAAAAAAAAATCATATTAATTTGTGCAAAATATATCTACAGCATTCATAGGAAATTACCGTTTATAAAGAACTTCTATTCTGATTAAAAAATCTAATGGCGCTATTTCAGGTCGCAACATTTAAAAAAAAAAAAAATCGAAAATAGGCTACATTTGTGATATACATATAAACTGGTAAATTAGAACAGCTTTTATGACAACACAAGCGCTTTTTTTCGCCATGTCCAAATTTGTGATTAATTTGTGCTTATAGAAACACTTGAAAAACATTTGAAACGTTTATGTAATAAGAGTAGGCTATTTAAAAAGACCACCGATGTAGCCAACTTTAGCGTGTTCGTGTATGTCTATTAAAATGCGTATTTATTTAAACACTCTAGCATTATTAGCCTATATAATTTCGATTGACTAAAAAATATTTATAACACAAAAGCGCTTACTGTTGCTATAGTAGCTAACACGTCGGTTCGGGGTCGGCTGTTATTTTGCCATTTGTTTGATCTAAACACTCTTTGAAATTTGTTTAGATCTGTAATAAGAATATTTAAATCTCCCTTTAAAGTTCCATCAACCGGCTGTTGCTGTTTACTTTAGAGCGTTCTTAAAATGAAACGTTGATTAAATGCGTCTATTTGTTTAATCGCGGTTAACATTATTATGGAACATCGATAGTCTCAAAAATATTTACCACAACTCAAGCGCGCCTACTGTTGCTATAGTAACACGTATAACAGTATGTGTTATAACAGTAACACGTCATCGAGAGTCTATTTCGCGCGAAGTCAAACTTATATTCGTGTGATGGTAATATTGAAAACTCATTTCTGTAATTAGAATATCTGAAACTCCTTTTAAGATACTCTCAACAGGTTGTTTGTGATTTGGGCTGCTTTACAATGGTCATTTATTAAAACAAAACTGT